TATGCCTGGCTGTCCTCACTGGGGCCCTTTGGAGGAGGGTGGGTTGAGTTTCCCTCCCCACCCCGAGCAGATCCCCGGCAGCTGAGGACCTCAGGTTCCAGCCACAGTTATGCTTAAGACCACTCTCCACACGTTTGGACGAGCCTCATGCATGAAGGAACCAGCAGAGGAACCCAGGTGTACGGGACCCGGGGCGTAGATCTCCAAGTAAAAATATATGGGTAAGTAAATCTTTTCATTCTTTTAGCCAAAGTACCCGAGAAATAAATAATATTCTCTCTTCTTTATATATGAGTATGCTGATTATCAGAGAAGATCCACAATAAATAGCTCTAGTTAATCAGAAGTCTGATACTCTTACTCTGTAGTCCACTTGAAAATAGGATAACCCTATCTTCACTTTTGGTTTTGAAGTATATTTTTGTGCTTCTATTTAAATAAGAATATAATTAAAAAACCCAGAAATATCCATACATTTAGGGACAATTAATTCATTGCAACAGAACTAAGAACATTCAATGAAAATTGAAAAAAATCTTTTCAATAATTTTTGAATAATTAAATGACCACTTGCAAAAAAAATAAACTGAACCGTGTTAGAATTTATACAAATACTATTTCAAATTATTTTAATATATGACCTGAAAATATGAAATACAAAAATACATAGGCAAAAAATATATTGATCTGACATCAATCTTAGAAATGTCTGTGATTTTATCTTCAATAAGGGAGATAAAAGTAAAAAGCAAAACAAAACATAAAATACCCACCGCACACTAACCCAAACTAAAAATGCTATCTACAGAAAACTATGAAAGGTCAAACTAATGAAATAAAAATGAAAATGAAAGGCAAACTAATAAATGGGAGGAGATATTGGCAAGGCCTATCTGTGAGAAAGGATGGGCATCCAAAATATATAAACTCAAACAACTCATCCACAAAATAATAATAAATTTGATTTTTAAAAAATGGTCAGAGGATCTAAAAAGACATTTCATAAAACCAGACATAGAGATGAACAATAGATTTAACTATGTTTATAATCACTGATTTTTAGGGACATGCAAATGCAAACCAAAGAGATAATCTTTCTATCAGTTACAATAGTTGTTACTGAGAAGACAGCAAATGTTGGCAAGGATGAGGAAAAAGGGAACTTTTGTATATTCTTGGTGAGTATATAAAGAAATTGATATTGCAACTATGGTAAGATATGTTGATTTCTTAAAAAATTAACAACAGAAATATTATGACCACTTACTCCACACCTGAAGACATAAAAACATGAATTCACAAACATACATGTACCTCTATGTTCTTGTAGCATTGTTCACAATAGCCATGATAGCAAAACAACCCAAATGTCCATCAGTCATGATCACTTGGAGATCATGTGCAGAGACAGACAATGGACATACACTCATTTATAACAAAAGATAAAACCTTGCCAGGTAAATCTCGAGGGGATCATGCTCTATGTGAAGCAAGACAGAGCAAGCCAAACATGTGCCTGCAACTCCTAAGTGGAAGATAAGGAAACCAGCAAGCCAACAAATTAAATGGAAACCCATTCGAAGACGCTGACAGGATGGCAGCTATCCATGGGAAAGGGTGATGGGAACCAAGCGAAACACTTTAGGGGGTCAACTGGGGGAGAATGGAATGAGGATCACAGAGGTAATCATTTGGGAAAGAAGTAAGCAACTGGGAGAAAGGGAGTTAATCATATGGTGGCACAGAAATTGAAACATTTAGTGGAGAGCATCAGGCACCATATGTAGATTTAAATCACAATGCTGGAATCTATGACCTATAGAGTAGTAACAAATGTTGTCACTGTCACTGTCACTGTCCTCCCGTTGTTCATCAATTTACTCGAGCAGGCCCAATAACATTGTGAGATTTGTTACTGTGTTTGGCATATCGAATACATCACAGGTAATTTGCCTGGCTCTCCGAGAGGGGCGAAGGAATCGAACTCGCATTGGCCCAGTTGGCCACGTGCAAGGCAAAGGCCTTACCCCCTGTAACAAATGTTATTTCAAATATTACTAAACAAGAAAAATTCAGAAAAGAATGTAAACTCAATTGTTGGGAATGTCATCCCCAAAATTTGATATTAGAGCCCCTTGTCAAATATAGACTGGAGTATTGATTTTATCTCTGTTCCTCACACTAAGGAAAACATTGACCATCAATGGCACCTGAGCAACAAAAATGTAGCTAAACCCAATTGAGATGTCCTAAGTATAGTTATGTACTAAGATGTACTAAGTATATATAGTATATGTATATGTATACATGTACATATGTATGTACATACACATATATTTCCGTCTTTAAAATGTTAGAGACTTAGACATCTTTTGAATTCATAATGGAATAATATTTTAAAATTTTTATTTATTTCATAGATCGAGTCTAAATAAAGTTGAGCTTCTCACTTCATCAAGAGAAAACTATACTTTTTTTGCCAGGGGTACAGTAAAAGGTCCATCAAATATTTTACAGGAATATTAAAGCCCTACCTAGTTATTTTTCAAATTTCTGCTATATTTGATCACTATGAAAATATTAAATTAGTTCCTCTCAATTTTCAGAATACTCAAAAATATTAACAAAGGCATATACTCTTTCCCTTAGAGTCTTTCTGCAACAGCCATTCCTATTATCACCTACCATATTTTATGTGAATGAATAAGAAATCTATGGGGGTATAAATTTTTTCCTTTCTGTTTGTTTTCTAAGACAATTCAATATCCATTCAATGTTCACTTGGGGAAAAAAATTTGAAGCAACTAGAATGTGAGATCTGTTTGCGCTCATATATGAATGATGTGAGATACTTCAGGAGATGCAGCTGCAACCAAAAGAATCCAAAACTCCAGTCCAGCAGGCGGATCTCTGCTCTATCCAGTCCCCACAGCACTGTTCCCAACACATTCATTATCTGGCTCTCTTGTGCTCACACTTGGTCTCCCTGACCTTCAAACTAACTTTTTGTCTTTGTGAAATTCCAAGTGTGACTCCAAACTTTCACACATCCTGTGAAGAACTTTCATAAAGTTACTATGGTTCTCCTGGCATTGAATTATATCCTACCAAATACCAGAGCACTTTATATTGTTTTTCTTTTAATCCCTTACCATTTTGTTATAATACTTCTTAGTAACAGATTATTATTTCCTATTTATCAAAAAATACAGTGCCTTAAACATCATAAAGACCAATTCTAGCATGATATTACAACTCTACCACATGCCTTCAATTACAAACAAACAAACACTGTCCTCCTGTTGTTCATCGATTTTGCTCAAGCGGGCCCAGTAACGTCTCCATTTTGAGACTTGTTGTTACTGTGTTTGGCATACTGAATATGCCATGGGCAGCTTGCCAGGTTTTGCCGTGCAGGCGAGATACTCTCTGTAGTTTGCCAGGCTCTCCGAGAGGGGCAGAGGAATCGAACCCAGCTCAGCCGGGCTAGCTGCGTGCAAGGTAAATGCCCTACCACTGTGCTGTCGCTCTAGCTCTAATTAATACCGTTTAATTTACACCATTTTGTAAATATATTTTAATATTTCTCTTGGCCATTCGAAATAATTTAATTCAAGATTTCAAGACTTAATAATTGAATATTTTTGACAACATGGGTCTGTCTCTTTTCCATTACACTCAGTAATGTTTCATTGGATTTTGAAGTGATACAATATATGATTTCTGCTCCCTCACTACTTGGATGCTTGAGATTATTTTTTATTTGTTAAAAATTACTATATGAAAGACATAAGCCCTGCAAGAGCTGTTATCTAAATACTCCACACAAAAGGAAATCTAAGTCTTTATCAAGAAATATTGGGCTAAAATATCAGAAATACTTTTGCATTAAATCCCTTCAAGAACACTTGTCCCTCAACACACACTTGAACATTTGCTTTCCTCTATGCAGTTTCATTTTGTGCTTTATGCACATTAGATGAAATGATCATTTAAGTAGTTGTCAACTAAGACACAGTTTTCTAGAACTTCCTCTTAATCAAATAAAAATGCTCCCTCAAAAGTAAATGGGGAAGTTAAGGCAGAAAAAGGAATGCTCCTTGTTCTATAAGTCACGTTACAGACCAGGGTCAAATATTCATTGTTTTAAAAGTAGTTTGTTCTCTATAATTATTAGAGATATAATTTATTCCAAAGAAATGACTTTTTGTTAACACCAAAATCATAGATGAAATAATAATTTAGGTAACAGAGTGCAGCTTTCTGGTTTTCTATAGAAAACTTATCATTTAAATATTAATCTGTGTCATATAGACAGCTAACAAACATGCATGTTGGTCATTCTAAGAATATAGCCTACATTTGTTATCATCACAAGCTTTTATATAATTGCTATATCATGCCTACTCTTGGTATCTCTTAAAAAATCCACATGCACTCTCTCTCTCTTTCTCTCTCTCTATATTTATTTCATTGAATATTAACCAACTCAGAATTTTAATGCAACTCTTTAGAAAAATTACCAAAAATATTTACGTTAAAAGACTGTATGGATATATTCAATCATCTAAAATATTTGAATAGCCAAATATAAGCACTCAAATTTGAATGTCTGTTCATCTAAAAAGAATAAATTAAATTGGAGAACCATAGTGATGACTAATTAAATTCTAATAATTCTGTCCTATATTTTATTCATAGTGAGCTGGTATTTTTAAAGTATTGCTTTCTGAATCAAGCAAAGGATACATCTCTTATTTTACTGCTGTAGGAAGACAATAAACAAAAAACTCAGGAGTTGGTAAATATACTGACACTGGAGGAAAATTGAAAGAATTTTATAAGTAATATCTTGAGAGATATTTTTTGAAGTTCAAAAAGATTTATTTCCTCTATGAAAATAGTCAATTAGGTGTTTACATAATTTCTTGCCTGTCATCTTTTCTCACTTACACCGTCTATTCTGTAAAACCACCAAACCAGAACCAATCATAATGTACCTGTTGGGAAAAATACTGTGAATTCTTCTTCCAAGGAATAATGGGCGCAGAGACAATTCTCCGTCAGTATGATATCATCAAGTGCAATGTCACCACGATGGCCTTTTCCAATTCTGCCTTCGAATTTGAGCTGGAAGTCCTCATCACCAGACAGAAGCAGTTCTTTGCGTTGCCAGAAATTGCCTTGTTCCATAGTGAGGTTCAACAGAACCTTTGTTTTGTTTGAAACCGATGCCTGGATCAAGGTGAGTGCCCCAATGCTATTTCCATACATGTGATAATGAAAAATTATCTGTGAGCAAAAATATTACACATGATACGTACAATTAATTCCACCATATTTTCAATTATGCCACATTGCTTTATCCCTTATTAAGAAATTCTTCTTTACTGATGGAAGGAAAATTAGACCTGTATATTCTATGGTTTATGAGTCACCCCTGCCATCACTGATAATAGTCTAGTCTTTAGTACTCTGCTGTAAATATATGGAAGACAAATAGAATAAGGTAAAACAAAAATTTAAATTTTAAAAAAAAGCAGAGTTTCACTTTTCCCCCATGATTTCTAAAAATGTAAGTCTCAATAGATTCTTATGGCCCACTGCCAAAGGGAAAAAATATCATTAAATGCTGATGCTTATATTAAAAGACTTCTCATGATTAAGAAATAGCAGGTACTAAAGAAGACCATTTTTAGTCTCATGAAACTTAAATCATTTTCTTCGAAATAGTAGTCGATTGCTTATTTCATCACATTCTTGCATGTGAAACACATTTTCAGTTGTACAATATCCTCAGGGCTCTAATACATATAGCAAAGCTACCAGAATAGCAATTATACTAATTTCACTGGAAAGGCTGAAACACCCTACACAGGAGCACCCTGAGGAGTTTTTCTCCAAGTAAAAATTAATAAAAGTATTTTCCAGGATTAACATTTCAATGTTTGAAAGATGGAGGTTGCCATATTTTTGGAGTCTGTTACTCGGAAGTAAAAATCAGAAGAAATTCAAGAGAAAATGAAGAGAGGTTAGGAACATAGAGATTCAGAGTACTTTTAAGTTTCTGTTTTGTCATTTGCATAAATTCAGGAAAACAATCTTGGTGAGTGATAGGCATATATTTTAAAAAAATGCATTTGGCCCAAAGCCACAGTATAATGAGAAGGGCATTTGCCTTGCACATAGCCAACCTGGGTCCAATCTCTGGCACCCCATATTACTGCTCCCAGTCACATTAGGAGTGATCCCTGAGCACAGAGTCAGGACTAAGTCCTGACAAGTGTGGCCCCCAAAAATGCATTTTTGAAACACTAGTAGACAGAGATTTTAGATGCTGAATTTAAAAAGATGCAACTAAAGGGCAGAGTATATGATTAAAATATTACATGCAGTAAGGCAATAGCTAAGAATAGGCAAACTATGCGAAGGGCTTATTCAAATTTCAGGTATTATTCAATAGTTCCAAAAGTGTTTTATTGATTTATGACCCTTTCCAACATGAGCTCGCCTACCTTGGTGACAAGTTTGGGCAGGACTGTAGAACATAGGAAGCATGACTCATCAGAGTTTAAAACAAAGGGCCTGGGCACAACTCTTGGACTGCATTAAATAATTACCAGGGAAAATGGTCACTAGATACAGTACCCTGCAGCTGACTTCCACGCAGTCAAATTTTGGTAGCTCAGCAGTTCATTTTGTATTTTGTATTCTAATTTTGCCATAACCAAAAGACATGTTCTAGAATACAGATACTACTTTATATCTTCCAGAAGTCAATTTCTGAATGATGTCACTGATTAACATGCAAACAAATATCTAAACACTTATGTTCCAATGACAACATTTTCTATTCACTGGACAATGCTAGTGCATAAAAGTCAACTCATCTCTGATTCTTTTAAAGAATTTCTCCAGAAATTCTAGAGTAATGCAGAGATATAATCACTTCACTTGTCAGTCTCTGTCTTCATTCCTCCCTCCACCAGTTTCTCCTTTTTTATCCCCAATACTTTGCAATGATATTATTTCCCCAATTCAATTTCAGGTATTTCACAAAGTTAAGGTACAGGTAGGGGGGCTTGAGTGATAGCACTAGTGGGTAGGGCATTTGCCTTGCATGTAGCTGACCCGGGTTTTATTCCCAGCATCCCATATGGCACCGCCAGGAGTAATTCCCGAGTACTTGGGCCAGAAATAATCCTTGTGCATTTCCAGGTGTGACCCAAAAAAGAAAAAAGACAACGTACAGGTAGGATTTTCATGAGGATCTTGGAAGTCCCTCTACTTACCTGATAAACATACTTTCATATGAGGCCAATCACTTTCAACATAACCTCTCTTACTTTTTTGTACTTAAACTATATAATAAATATTCATAAAATGAACCATTCATCATTAATTTTCTGACATTTCTTTTAGGCATACTTCATTATTCTCACACAGGTATGTAAAACAGTATGGACTACACTTTGGGGGGCCAGGGAAATAGATATAAACAAATTACTTTTAGTTACCATAGTATAGAAACATATTTTGAATACTTTCTAAAGAATAGTTTAAGTCTAAATATAAAACCTTGGAAGTCAAAACTGGACTTTTGTATCATTCATGTTTAATTTTTAGTTAACTTTCAAAGCCAATGACTAATTTGCAATTTTCAGAATATTTATAGCTATATAGATATAGATCTGCAGCTACAGACTGGAAACATACAAATCTGATATATTTGGGATTTACTTTTAAATGAAGTCTCCAGCAATTTGGAAGACAGCAAAAACAGACAAAATACATTTGCATAACACTTTGCTTCTTGCCAAATTAATTAAAGTTCAATATTATTCTTTATATTGTTGTAGCTAGCTATTCTAGACTGCTGGTTGAGTTATCGCTCCAAAATTCTTATTTGATCATTTCTCTTTTTTGATGAAAACATTTTTTATCAATTATGCCCAAAGAGCGATAGAGATCATCTGAGTATTCCCTGAGATTTAAAGTATTAAATCAGCATAATATATGAAAGAAATTCCTAGAGTAAAGGTTTAAGGTAGTTCAAGATTGGACAGTGGTAGGATATTGAAGACTGGTCAGTAAAAGAGAGAAGATGAAACATCTATAACAGATTCAAGCTCAATTGGGTTCTATAGAATAAAGATTTAACATAACTTTCCAGGTTTAGAGCTGTATTTGAAACACATACAAAAATAATATGATTTGACATAACTCAAGATATAAATTTGGCTCCCATTAAACTGATTTTTTATCATATAACAATTTTCCAAATTAATTTTCTTTATAGTGTTTAAACAATAGGCAGCTTACTAACAGAAAGTGTGTTCAGATAACAAAAATATTGCATTTCTTATTGTAATTTAATAAAAGCACATTTATTTAGCATTATTTAAGCAAGCAGACACAAAACAAGAGTCTAACAAGGCTGTTTCTGAGTGTGCAATTTATATTATTTTTAAAGCTATCTTTGGTTCTGGCCTACAGTCAATGAAAGAGAAGACACTGTAAATATATAGTCATTCCATAAAATAGTTTGGTCTGTATATCCTCACCTAGTCACTTTTTTAATACTTCACATATCCTAAAACTAATCATTTCAAAGTCATCTTTGCTGTGGTCCTGACCATACACCAATTCTCAGTCTTTGACTCTACCAGTAGCTTCCCACAAATATATTTGCTTTTCCCCAATACCTTGCAATTTTTGCTTCTTTTGCTTATGAGAGGGCTTGAAATTCTGGCTACTCTCATAGGCTGCTGAGGGAACCGGCTCCTTATAAAGATGTAATGACCAGAAGAATTTCTCAAGGTGTGATCAGCCGCAGGCTCGGTGCCCACAGCAGGGTTGCTACTAGCTTTCAGATTCCAGTCAAAGTCATCATCCTGGTCTTGCTCCCAGGAACAAAGGTCAAATTCAAAATCACAGCGCTTACTGGTGGTACCTAGGATGGTAGAGAGGAATTGGAAAATGACTGACATTAAGAGATGCCATACAAAATTACAGTGATGGTGTCACTTCAGGTAACACTTAACACTTTACCAAAAAATATTTTAACAACAGTGACATTAGGACATTTTAGTTTGTGATGCACAGCTTTCTAAGGCATGTGTAAGATTATTTCTTTACAAATATGGTCTGGTAATAAAATGGGTGAGAAAATAGCATTACACACAGTTACTCCCATAAATTCCTTTTTGGTCAATGTGGCTTATTTCTTTTCTCTTTTAATCTTGTATTTCAGGGCTCATGGAGAATTTAGGAAGTTTATTACTCTGCAAGACAAGTTTAATAAATGCGGTCTAAGGTAAAAGTTATAATTACTCATTATAATTATTAAATATACTCATTTTATAAATAAAAAATTGTGAAAAAAGGAAAATAATTATAATTTGAATTAAGGAGTTATAGAAATTGAGTCTACTAAGTTGCATTAAATAGCAAACTCTCCTGGCTATTTAAAAATATAATATTATCCTAGAGGAAAGGGCAGTTCAGACAGAGAAGGGAGCACCAAATAAAGGATGTTTGGAGGATCCTCCCAGGAGGGGAGATGCATGTCGAAAGTAGACTATGGACTGAACATGTTTGCCACTCAATGCCTCTTTTGCAGACCACAACACCCAAACGGAGAGAGAGAACACAGGGGATTGCCCTGCCACAGAGGCAGGGTGGGATGGGGGGAAGGGGGTGGGAGGGATATTATCCATGGTGGTGAAAAACGGGCACTGGTGGAGGGATGGGTATCTGATCATTGTATAATTGAAACCCAAGCACAAAAAAATTGTAAATCTACAACTGTAAAAAATAAATAAATAAATAAATAAATAAAAATTTATTGGTGCAGAAAAAAAATATATATTATTATTGCTAATACTAGTTCTTACTTATTCCAATTTCTAGAAAAATAAGAATCACTGAGTATTCAGTATGTCTTCACTGATTTTCTTCATACCGTTTCTATTTATTTCTGAGTGGTAGGTAATGAAATTTCCAACTTTAATAGAGTTTTTATTAGTTTTTCTATTGCAGTTTTGTTTCACATAGTTTCACATGTTAGTTATATACATAGTGAAAATGAATGTCTTCTAAAAGCTTTTAATTTTTAAAAAGCATCTCTGAAAACTTTTTGAAGTCAGCTGCCTAAAATTAACCCATTATTTGTTGAAGGCAGCTAGAACAGAGAAGGGATCACTTAGTCAATGATGGTTGGAGGGATCGCTCGGGATGGAAGATATGTGCTGAAAGTAGATAAAGGACCAAACATGATGACCTCTCAGTATCTGTATTGCAAACCATAATGCGCAAAAGTAGAGAGAGAGAAAGAGGGAAATTGTCTGCCATAGAGACAGAAGGAGGGCTGAGATGGGAGAGGGGAATATCAGGGACGTTGGTGGTGGAGAATGTATCCTGGTGGAGGAATGGGCATTTGATCATTGTATGACTGAAACTCAAACATGAAAGCTTTGTAAATGTATCTCATGGTGATTTAATTAAAAAATTAACCTATTATTTTTTAATAATTAGTGTATGGTTACACTAATTATTAGCATAGTGTATGGTTTTTTATCTTCCTTTTTGGGTCACATCCAGCATTGCACAGGGGTTACTCCTGGCTCGTGGACTCAGAAATTACCCCTGGCAATGCTCAGGGGACCATATGGGATGCTGGGAATTAAAGCTGGGTCGGTCACGTGCAATGCCCAATCTGCGTACTATCACTCCAGCCCCATAGTTCATGTTTTGTCACACATTTATTTTTAATCTTTGTATTATAATGAATTTCTCATAACATACAGAAAAGTTGACTCAAAATGGATTTAAGATATTGATATTAAATAAGAATCCATAAAATAAATCAAGAAAAATATAGGCGGTACTCTTCATATATCAACATCAAAGGTAATGTTCAAGGACTCAAAACCATTGGGAATGAAAACAATAGCAAATATAAACAAATGTGACTAAATCAAGCAAAGAATTTCTGCACTTAGGAAGAAATCATCTAAGATAAAGATGCACTACTTAATGGGAGAAAATGTTCACTCAACATACATCTGACTAAAGGTCAATTCCAAGATGTATAAAGCACTCACAAACTCAACAATAACAACAAAACAAATAAACCCTTGAGATATTGAAAGAAGAGTTGAATAGAATTTCATTAGGGAATATAAACAGATGGCCAACAAATATATGAAAACATTCTCATCATGGCTGAACATAATCAACATCATTACTGATTACAAGGAAAATGAAAATAACAATGAAAGGCTGGAGAGATAATACAGTGCTTTCCTACCATGCAGCTAACCTTGGTTTGATCCCCAGCACACCATAAGGCCCCCTGAGCTTGCCAGGAGTGATCTTTGAGCACAGATCCAGGAGTAAGCCCTAAGTTCAGTTTACTCCTTTTGTTTTGGGTCAAAATAAATAAAAACAATCAAACCAAAAACAAAAAACAAAAACCTACCCCCAAAGGACAAAAAGAGAATGGACCATTTCAAAACTATCAGGGATGTAGGAAAAAAGGAACTCCAAGTTAATACTGGTAGAGATGAGTGAGCTGTGGTCCAGCTTCTATGAAAATTGAAATTTTAAAATTTAAAAATAGAACTTCCACATCATCCAGGAATTCCATTCTTTGGCACCTATCCCAAGACCACAGAACATTAATTTGAAAAGATATCTGCACTTCTTTGTTTATAGCATAGACTTTTACAAGAGCCAAGATCTCGAAACAACCCAAGTGCTCAACAACTAATGAATGAGGGGCTAGAGCAATAGCACAGCGGGTAGGGCTGTTTGCCTTGCATACAGCCGACCCGGGTTCAATTCCCAGCATCCCATATGGTCCCCAGAGTACCGCCAAGGGTGATTCCTGAGTGCAGAACCAGGAGTAACCCCTGTGCATCTCCAGGTGTGACCCAAAAAAGAAAAACAACTAATGAATGAATATATATATATCTCCGTATATATATGTATGGATATATATATATATATATGCTATAGATACACACTGGAAGACTATTCAGAAGTTAGAAAAAATGATGTCTTTCTTGCATTTTACAATAAATGGGACTGAACTGGAGGATATCAGGTTGAGCAAAGTGGTCAAAAGGAGAAAGGTAAATATAGAATGATCCCACTCATATGTGGAGTACATAGAAACAAAGGCCAATGAAAACAAATCCTGAGATTTTTCCCACAGAAATGTGTCTGCCAAGAGGCTGGAAGAGAAAGAGAAGGAACCAGGAGATAGTGATGGAGGCATAGTTACTACCTCTGGTAGTAACTTTGCAAGCCTAGAGCATTAATATTAACACTACTGTAAACCATGATACCTCAATTTATAAAATCATATGTAATATTTGAAGACAGTACATCTAAGAAAGCATAAGGACTAATACATTCTTCAGGATGCTTTAATTCCAGGAACAGTAAGGCTAACACTGGTTTCTAATTAATTTCAAGTATAGGGAACATTTTTCTGTCATAATTTCTGTCATCAAATGAACAGGATGACATTTTCTAAGCAGTTGCTAATTCAGTTTTTAAATTACATTTGAAACCATTTTTGTAACATACTCTTTCCTGGAATACATGATAATGCTTACAATTTCTGTTTTGGTTCAGAATACTAAAGTTCCAGTATCCTTTCAGAGAGCTGAGAGGCAAAATCTCATTGAAATAATAATGAACCTCCACTTGTCATCTTGCTTAAAAACTGAAAAGTAGTCTAGGTTAAAAATAATGAAATGAAATAATCCAGTTTCCCTTGTGTTGGAGAATTTAGCATCCCGTGAGGAGCAGATTACCATAGAGACCAGCTCCCCAAAAGGCCAGTGGAATCAGGAAATGCTGCCACAAAAATGAGTTCCAATTGATTTTAAAATATACAAATGTGGCTACCTGGATTCCTAGAAAGTACATTGTATTTTTCTTTTAGTATTTAGTTTTAAGATATATTTTCTTGGAAATATTAATATTAACATGCCAGCACGAGAAATACAACCATCAGGCATAAGCTATTTGAGTTTCTCCTCAAATCCAATGTGCGGGAGGAAACAACATGTAATTTCATTTTCTATTATTTCCCATAGGGTCCAGGTGAAAAAAGCAGCAAACAGTTTTCCTACAGATGGCAAGTCATGGCATTTCATGCAGTAATTAATGCCATGCCTGGTAGGTGTTCCATCAAGGAGAAAAGGTCACCTTTGTATCATCACATTTGTCCATTATGTATCATTCAATTTTTTTTCTTTTCTAGAGACTATTATGTTCCTATCAATAAACACCTCTATCCATAAAACATTTTACTCATAAAAGATCATTTCATATGTACAAAATCTAATTCATTTTACAATTTTAAGACCCTATATCAAAGTTCTCGTGACATTGTTATTTATTTATTCATTCAATAGAAAATTTCCAGCCTTGTGTATAAGGAAAACACATTGGGAAAACAGGAAGCTGACTGGAAAGGGGTTAATGTATTAAGCATGTTGTGTATTAGGTCCTGAGTATTCTCTCAGTGTTTTTTTTTCTGGTGTGGGAGAAACACATCTTTCAGTTTTCAGGGGTTACTCTTGACTCTGCTCTTGGGGCAGGTTTCTGGTGGATTCCTGATGAGCTTGATGGACCATATGGGGTGCCAAGGATTGAACCTGTGTCAGCCACATATACAGCAAGGCAAGCACCCTCCCTGCTGTTCTAGCACCTGGGCACTGAGTATTTTTTATGTCTATCACATCATTTAATTTACACAACCTCTTTACAGAATATTGTTAAATACTTTTAATTTGGTTGATAACAAAGCAAGTTCAGAGTTCATGCTTACTATTTCACTGCAGTGGTGGAGTTATGAGTTCAAGAATGAAAGGACATACCTGTACTACTATTACCCTTTACAGTGTTATATACTGCAGTCATGGGTGGAGGGTA